TCTTCCTCCTCCTCCTCCTCTTCTACCTCCTCCACTTCCTCCTCCCCAGCATCCTTTTCCTCCTCCTCCTCCCCTTCCTCATCTTCCTCCTCCTCCTCACCCTCCTCCTCCTCTTCCTCGTCTTCTTCTTCCTCCTCCTCTTCTTCTTCCTCCTCCTCCTCCTCTTCCCCCAACTCCAAATCCAACTCAACTTCGGACACTTCGATTCCCATTAACACCTCTTCCTCCTCCTCCACAATCAACAACTCTTCGTCATCCTCCTCTTCGTCATCCTCCTCCTCCCCCTCCCCCTCCCCCTCTTCTCCACGTCTGCTCAACATTCTGCTCTCCGCTGCCTCGCTGTCATAACTACTGGCGCTGCTGGACAGCGATCCACTCGCCTCCTCCGTCTCCAAGTCCGCCGACGCCTTGGACAACAGTCCTCTGCCTTTGGCACGTCGCATCTTTGTCGGGCTGAACTGTGCCCCGGCAACAGTCTTGACGCTCCCAGTTGCGTTGTCACCCTCGGGGCTTCGAGTGGCCACGGCCTTCTGCATCCCACGCGCCATAGCAACAGCTGCCTCTTGAGCAGACGCCTCTGTGGCCTCGAGATCTTCAGGATCGTCGTCGTCGACCAAACCGAAATCCCACACGGCAGCTGTACCATCGCGGCTGCCTGTGATGAGATAGCGCGTTGGAGAGACCGCCAGTCCCGCCGGTCTGCAATCCGTCGTAGACAAACACAGCGCCCCCGCGCCAGCCGTCGGGGAGCCGCCTGCCGACCGGTACCACCCGCCACCATCTCCGCTGCCACCGCCGCCAGCACCAGCACCACCAGCACCACCACCGCCAGCACCACCAGCACCAACACCACCAGCAATGCCGCCAGCACCACCAGCACCACCAGCACCGCCACCGGCACTGTTGCTGGGGGGCTGGAGGCCCGAAGTGGGCGAGGCAGCACCGACCAGATTGGCAGCAAAAGTACGCGTTGTCGTGGGAAATGGAGCCGCGTGGGCATTCACACCGGCCTGGTCGAGACAAACAGTATCCACGGCGAGGCAGGAGATGACGTCCTGATGCGGGCCGATGAGCAGGGCGTCAAGACGACCGCCGCCATGTTCCAGACTGTAAATGGCCAGTCGACGATCCCACCGACCTGCGACAAAAAGACTCCGACCATCGGCACTCAGCGCGTACAGTTGACCGACTCCGAAGCGTCCAGGCAAGTGTGAATGCGGTTCGTGCAATGCGCCATCCTCACTCCACGGCGACTGTTGCCTCGTCGGCAGGAATCGAGATTGATCCATAAGCCCAGGCTCCAGTGGTCCGATGGAGCAGTATCTGCGGCTGAAAGAGAGAGCACAACAGGACACTTGAACTAATATAAAAGTGGGATACAAGAGAGTGACGGATGGCATAGAACGAATTAAACTATGGAGATTCAGCTAACACGATCGAACGGAGCGAGAAATAGTTGTGATTTGCATTTTGAGTTAAATGTGTAAAGGAAAAATAATAATAAATAATAAAATGCAATAGCCGGTGTGTAATGGATTGGCAGAAGTTGATAGAATTGAGATGTACTGCAGGTCTCTTTTTTCGATTAACAAACGGCTAGAACTAATCATCTGACGACATAGTGTCAAAGAACAGCTATCTACATCATTCACTTTGACTCAAGATAGAAGTAAGATTAATTACTTTAAATCAAGAAACTCCACAAAACTCAACGTTCTTTCGTGTATACTGCAGGATCTAGGATCAAAGTCAAGTTTAGCTGTGACATGACGTTTCATTTCAAAGGATAAGTTGGCTGGAAAGAATTTGTGAAATGGTCTCTGCAAGTGTCTGTCACGGCGGTACAGACGAAGGCTTAGCACAGATTCATCGAGGTCGCTGGATGATGAGCCGAAGACTTCTTCGTACAATCCAACATTCCTCATTCCGTTGTAATCCTCCTTCGATGTCCAGGAGGTAGCATTTCACAAATTCATTCAAACCAACTTTTTATTCCAAATTAAAAGTCACAAAGTCACAACAACTCATCAAGAAGTTCATAGACATCCAGTTTAAAGTCATACTTTCATTTGCATCAATTCGGCCAAAAGATAAACTGTCAAGTTCAATTCTTTGTGACTATTGATGCATTAAATTCGACTAATATTGCATCAAACCGATAAAGTATGTGTTTTTCACAAAGATAACATAATACAAATGAAAATGAGATGTGTTCACCCTATTCACTGAGAGTGATAGAGGACTGGTAGATAAATTTTCACACAATCATATGAGTAAAACTTACGCTCTTATTAAATTAGATATAACCCTGCTTTACCAAAATAAAACCTAGACGAGGCCGAAATTGCCATTTACTCCATCCTGGGTGTGAAATTCACTGGAAAAGTAGGTTCTACGCATATGATTATGGTAAAATTCAACTACCATTACCCTAACAGAAACAGGATTAATACATGTTATATCTATGATCTATTGCTAGTCTCGAAAACCTGGTTATAAAATGGAAAATATGAATAAATGTATATAGTTGGTGGCATGAGAAAGGCCGGAAGAGACTCTTGTCTAAATTACCACATGTCGATTGTTCTGATTGCATGGCTTATTTCGTTAAGTTGACTTAGCCTTTACTGCTGGTTGTCGCTTCGTAAAATAATTAAATCGAGAAAATTCAGCTTTTGCGAAATGAGTAGTGAGGGCATAAGTAGTCGCCTAAAGCCTATTTGCATAATGTCAGACGGACAATGGAATAACCTCCTGTGAAGTGAGAAGACCTTGTGAGCACATATAAATATAGAAATTCTACCAACCAGAATCGTTTTAAGCTTCTTAATGTAAATAAAGTTTCTATTGAAATACCAGATTAACAATTGAAAGGTGATTGAAACTATAACGAATGTCAGCTTTCTTGGTCTTCATGGGCCCACTGACGTCGTGAAAGAAGCTAGCTGATTGATATTCTACTATTCCAGCAGAACAGCATTCGTCGGGTTGGGAGCATGGTCAATCTAGGTCTAGAAATGTAAATAAACCGGCCAGAATGTTTCGGATACGGTTCAAAAGCATCAGGACCACTCAAACAAGAAGAACTTCTTATATGCTCAAAGCCTCGACAGAAATGTACAGCAAAATTTGTCATTTTAAGGAAACCAGTTTTCAAGTGTGCATTTTATCCAGAACCGGCAATTCAGCATGGAAGCCATATTTTCATTCAGGTAGGGCAGATTCTCAATGCCGTTGGATTCTGTTAAGTAGGACTCCTTGTTTTCTAATGCCATGTGACAGAGGTTCGATAGTTTTGCCCATCCAGACTATATAATCCATTCAATTAGAAAGGTAGATTTAGCGAAAACTTTGCCTACTACTTAAGAAAACAAATGAGATTTTGTGATAGTGCGGCAGTGGGAGAAGTGGGTAAAGAGTAGATAGATAGGCCAGGAAAGAAAGAGGAGTGATACTGTAACCGTTTTCGACAGAACATTTGTCGACGGATTAACTTAACTTGTCTTTTTGACGAGTTCGTAGCTCGGTGTGGAGAATGGCAAAACTAACTGTTGATGCCGGCGAAACGTTTGAGAATGTACCATGTCCACTGTCTGATGCTGGTAATCATGACAACTCCTATGGCAGACGACTTTGGACAAGATGTGTTCTATTAAGTCGCCCTGACAACAAGACCAAGTTGCAACAACGAGATCAGCCAAGTTCTCAAATAGCTTTTTCTTCTCAATATTATACGTTTCACTTAACTTCTGAATAGAGGCATAGCGGAGAAACTAATTAAGTTTATTCATAAGGTTCAAGACCGTATTTACACCAGAGGACAGGAAATAGTTGGGCCTTTCTTTAGTATACAATATATAGACGAAGAAAAGTTGTGTTTCGAGGAATCTCTTCGAGTGAAAGTGTTTGGTGCAGAGATTCGAAAGTCGATTACATCATAAGATGAGGGCGGATTCCTCTTGACCAGCTGACAATTTGCTTTACTGGAAAATTTATGCTGACGCTATTTCCGGGATAGTATTACTTCAATTCCGGTGAAAAGGTGCTAAACTTTCGTTCGTCATATGACGAACATAATCAGAGCAAGGTATCATCGTCACAACATTATTCGAGCTGACGAGTCAAGAACACTCACCGGCAAATCCCTAAAAATTGGTATATAGACTCTATATCTGGCCTCTTTAATCAAGTTTAAAGTGATTTGGTTAGTCACGGTCATGTGCCAACTTCAAAGCCTGTGAGTGTGTATGTGCCTGTTTGTGTGGGCTTATGCACGAAACCTGCAGTGATAGCTCAAAGTAATTAGGACAGCAAAAGTAACGCATGTTCTTGGCCATCACTATCTCCACCTTCCTACATACATTTTACAACTATCATTCTAATTGTGCAAGGTCGGATACATGTCTGGTTTTGTTGATGAGCCTTTTTTTAGTTTTGGTCTCAATGCGAGAGAGAAATAGTG